GTATTCCCTTTTGTGGGGATTTTTTTTTTTTTTTTTTTTCTTTGTTAAATTTTTTTTTTTTTTTTTTTTTTTTTTTTTTTTTTTTCTTTTAGGCTTTACACCCCCTGGGATGGATAGGTCATCTCCAGACAACAGTCCAGTCCATGGCCTGTTACGTCAACCCTCCATTACAACAGGAGCCAACATCCCTATTATAACAGAGCTAGGTAAGAAAAGCTAACATTTATCCTTTCATGTACATTCGCATATCTTTTTCCCACTTCCCTTGTTGTGCAGTCTCAGGAAAATTACCTATACTGTATCTTACAGTGCTATGTTTTCTCTTCTGATAACTGTTTCAAATTACTCTCTCTAAAGAAAGATTAGTAACAGTTGTTTCACTTTATTTGAATAACTGAAATATATTTCTCTCTTTCCTTTGGGTTTTCTCCATTTTCTTAAATAAACACTCTATCAGACAAGATGCTTTTTACATAGTGTAACAAATAAGCAGAGGTCTTTGAGCTAAGGTTAGAAAAGAAAAAAGAATACTGTAAGTATAAGCAGACATTTCCTGTGCATTTAATCAATAGTAAGAGGCTATTTGTTTATTTCTTCATGGTCCAGAACTGTTTAATCATGTGTAACCAAACTCTGTATAATAGTATGAGACATTTTACTCCTGAGAATACAATGATGGTAGGTAACCAGGCTCTGATTTCCACTCTAGCTGTGGGTATTTATGTTGTCAAGTGGTGTGATGTGAAGTGCAGAAGCTGTTCTGTTTTTTTCATGGCAAATACAAACTTGATTTGTGGTCCTTTGTCCTTTTATTTTCCCTTTCAGTTTTATTTTTTAGAGCCTTACCTGTCTTTTTCCCTTACTTTATTCTCTTTCTGTACTTTCTTTTCCCCCTAAATACTTTACTTATTAGCTAAGCCTGGCAAACTTCTGCCTTTGGTTTCAATCAGTCAGGAAAAAAACAGTGGAACCCACATTCTAATGATAACTGAACTGGGTAAGAAGTGCCTTTTTCCTTCACATCACTGTCTTATTTTCTGTTGTTGTTGTTCTTACTTTCATCAGCTTTTTCTTTATTTATCTGGCTGTATCAGAGGGGCTACCCTCATGGCACCGCTTTGAATGTGTTTTATTTGTGGTTCTGGTTGAAATTAACTGTCTTGTTCTGGCCTTTCTTAATGATTTTTTTTTTTTTTCACGCAGCATCAGTAAACCTTTGATCACCCTCGTCTGACCTGCCGGCTGTTTTCATAGCACCTTCTCACCAATCCATTTTCTTTGGCCTCGGTCCCCACCTCCCAGGCCCTACCCCCCCACCACCAATTTTTCTCTCCTTTTCTCTCTCTCTCTTTCTCTTTTTGTTATTTCAGCCTATTGTCAATTTGGTGGACATTCCTTAGCAGTTCTCACAGGAAGACAAAGAAGAAGTAAAAGATATCAGAAAAAGAAACCCCAGCATCATATTTTCCCTTAAGCTATTTGTTTGTTTATTTTGGGGAGTAGGCCTTGTCTCAGAAGCTCAGGTTCTGAAGCTGTAAAAAAGCAGCCAAGCTTCTGCATTGCTCCCTCTCAGTAAAGAGAGCTCTCACCAGCTTTTGCAAGCACTGTTTGATGAGCATTTCCTATGGTGCAACACCACACGTTCAAGCCTACCTCACCTAGCCCAGAGACCTTTTGTAGAAATCCTAGCGTGCTAACTTGCATCAGGAAGATAAAGATATTGAGGATAAAACCACACTTGCAGAATTCACGTTAGATTTGTAGTACCTTGGAAACTGACACCACGCACAGCTAGCAAGCTGGTGTCAAAGTCTGGTATTAATCTGCCAGATGTAAGTGAAAAAAGAATGCTACTGTCAATAGCACCTACTCTCAACTAGCAAATTAAACTAAGGCACAAGCTCTTCAAAAAGTAGGTTTTGAAATGATGCGTCAGGCTTTCAAATACTATTTTGCTCAAGAATCTGGAGAATAAATTGATAGCCATCATACAAAGAAAGGAGTATTGTGGATGTTGGTATTTGCTAGGACGAAATTCTTCTGACTCCCAGGACAGAACTCTTCTCTGTTTACAGTGCTAAGGTGTTATGTTTTCATGGTTACACCAAGGAGTGGGAAGGCCAGAATTTTAAGTCCTACTTCAGCTCAGGTCCTGACTTACTGTATGATCATGGCCAAGTACTGGCTCAACAGGGCTCTAAAAAAAGGATAACAATTCTTGACTCCTTTAGACAGCTATTGTGAGGCTTTATTCATAGTTATTCATGTTTTGTAAGCTAAGCACAGCAAGCACAGTAGTGTATACAGGTTGGAAAAGGAGTGGATGAAAAATGAAACTATATAGGAAGGAAGATCAGAATAGCAGGCAGAAGACTTTCTAACTGAAGAAGTCCAGAGCTGATATCTGATCAAGTTAACAGTAGCTCTCATGTTGGTTTCAAAGCTCCCTGGGTTGGCTCAGGAGATGGGTTCACATGGGGAACAGGGACATAGTCAAAGTGTGCAGTTTCAGATGCTGAAAAAGTTTTTAATTTCCCTTCCTTGCATGGGAACTGAAATTAATTTGTCATTTAGTAAGTTAAAGGGTATTTCGATGGCATGGCTAAGCAGTCTTTGCTTTCATGCCTGAGGAGGACTAATATGGAAATGAAGTATTTCATGAAGTCTGATCCACTTGATACACTGATCTCAAGGAAACAACTATTTTTAGTGGAATGAAGTGGAGGCAGAGAGCTTAACTGTGAAAATGAAATGCCAGAGAAAGTCTAAATGACAAATATTACTTTATTTGGGCTTTTTCTTTAAAACAGCCTGATGTAGATTCTTTTTTCACACTGGCTAATACAGAATTTGTGGCTAAGGAAGTGAAGTTATGGAGACAAATATTTGAACAGAAGGCAGGGCTGCAAGAGAATAGCTGGAGCATTGCTCATTCATTCAGATAGATGCATGTTAAAGTGACAGTTTATCCTCTTTTGACCTGTAAGTGCATTAACACCACTGCAGTAAGAATCAGAGCAGCACATCTAACAGATGCCTGTGGGCTATATCAGAGTTTTATGGACAGCCTTTATTTTACAAAGGGGTTCTGACTTGGTGTCTTGTGATAACATTTCACTGTACATGCATACAGCCTTAGCCACTGTACCCTACCAAAATCAAGATTGTCTCATATATAAAAAAGCATCATGTATCTCACTTTGAGTGCAGGCAGCTGGTGCCATGAAGCTACTTTTACGGAAAAGGGATAGTCACCTCTCAAGAGCAAGAAAATGATCAACAGATTTTTAAATGCACATTTTCACATCCATCTTGATTTCATTTTCAGTGACGTCAAAGACACAAGTCTGTGTTTCCAGACATATACCGTTTCTTTTTCTTTCTGACTGTGTAATGTGTAAGGTCACATTCTGGTGACCCAGAAGCACCTTATGATTTTATTATTATTATTATTATTTTCAGTAAATGATTCAAATGTTCAGTTCTTGGACCAAGATGATGATGATGATCCAGACACAGAACTGTATCTCACGCAGCCCTTTGCATGTGGAACCGCATTTGCTGTCAGTGTGCTGGACTCTCTCATGAGCGCAGTAAGCAAACAAAACCTTTTTCATTCTCTTCCATTAGACTTATTGTGAAAGAGTATGAAAGCGTAGTCCCTTTTCCACAGGTAGTCAGGAGAAGACGCTTTTCTCTTAGATGTCAAGAGAATTTCAGAGCCTAAACTAGGTTATTTTGTAGTTGGACACAGAGATCTTAAAACAACTGAGATATCTAGGTCTACCCTGAGTCCACAGTTTTAAAAGTAAAGAGTCTTATGTCCAGCTTTAAGGATAGTATTTTCCCAAAAGTGTTGTATCTCCCTCCTGAAACCCAAACTCAAATTCAGTGTGTCAGTCCCTATGCTCACCGTTCATGTCAGACAGCATCAACTGTGTTTTAAGCTTTTAATTTACTGTAGCCATGAACAGTGGTCTGAGTATGAGCACTAGGGAATACTGATAGAACTATACGAAAGCCATTGTACACATCAAGTGAACTCTACTTGTGTGAAGAGAGGTTATCATCTCTTTTTCACATGAATTGTCTTGTGAATGAAAACATAAGTGCATGCCAGAAACTACAGATGATGGCCTTTGGTTATGTCTACATTAGGGTTTTTGGTTTGCAGCCATAGTACACTTTTGAAGCAATCACCTTGGTCATACTCCTTTTTATCCTCCCTTGCTTCATATTGGCTAGGTTTTCAGACCAATCGTGCTCTGTATGAGCTGCACTTCTTTCAGAGGGACGTTAAGCTCTGCTAGATGTAGCAAGGACAAAGTCTTTTTAAAATCTAAGCAGAGGCTTTCTGAGCTCCCTATGGAATAAAGATCCATGGTGCTGGGAATCATCTGTTGTAAACCCGACATAATATTAGAAATCAGCAAATGGATTTCCTTAAAGGAGACAAGTCTGACCTTCACCTAAATTCAGAATGAAGCTTTTTGTTTTTAAGAAAAATTCACAGTGATCTTTATTATTTGGTATTTTATTCGTATTTCATCTTTATGTATCTGTGTTTCATATTTTTATTCCCTGCTATATTCTTCATATGTTCCATCCACGGATGAATAATATCAGTCTACACTGATAAAATTTGGTTCTAATGCAGCATAGGAAAATACTTTTTTTGAAGGTTATTGGTCATATTTTGCAGATGTGACAAATTCAGAAAGCCTAAGAAAGCACACTTAAACTCTGTACCTTCTCTAATTAAAATCTCTATGAATAAAATATTTAGCATTTTCACATTATAAATGGGAATAATTTAACATGAAGGTTCCAAATTGCTATATTGAGAGCTGTTTATCTACTCACATTACCTAAATCAATGTCCATGAATGAATGGTTCAGTAGGGCACTTCCAGAAAGTTGGAAAAAGTAGGGTTACTTCTTCTGCTTGCCACTGGCATTGCCACAAAGGGAGAACGAAATGTTGTAGACACCACTGCTTTCTTGTGCAAAGGTATATCATGTAGATAATAGTGAGGCAATAAGAAATATGTGGAATGTGACTGTTCAGAAATTTTTACTTGGAACTAATCATATAATCCTCACAATATTATTAGTTATTGCTAGCTTTTATTAACTTTTAGTTTTTGACACCATGCCCCTCCGTTTCTCCAATTCCTTTCTTCAACAGAGTCTTTTTTACAAACATTTTCACATCTAAGTGGTCGTACTATGTGCCAGGGACAGTGCAGCCTGAAGCCAGAGAAGTAAATGTGATAACAAGAGTAGAGAATTCTAACTTAGAAAAAATATGAATCAAGAAGACAAGCCAAGGATTCAGTCAGTTAGAATTGTCCACCATCCTGTCTTTTCTTTCACCACTGTGCTGATCGGTAGCAGCGTTATTTTCTCTTTTATTCTTCAAAGGCCTAGTAAAGAGTTGGAAAAGTATGATTCTTCCTGACCCTTCATAAAATGTAAGATGTGTGAGTTGTTTTCCCTTTACTATCCCTGTTCTCATGGGAAGGATGTATTCTCCTTTCCCTTCTTCTCCAAGGAAGAGTGTTTCTCACACAAGCTAACCTACTTGCACTAGATTATCTCTTTTTTTTCCTGGAGTACACTTGTTTTTAGGGACCAGCTTCTATTCACTCTGCCTAACTTCAAGCCAGTACCAGCAAACTGAACCCAAAATCCTAACCAAATTGTGAGATCTGCAGTCATGATTTCATCCTAATAATTGCACAGGAATCCTGTAAGAAGGAAATAATTCACACCGTGCTGGCCTGCGCCAGCTCACTTTGAGACAAGGATATAGTTCATTATTCAGTCCACTTACTGATTCGGAGTTTTCTATTGCTTAATTTTTATAGAAAAAAAAATCCAACTTATGAACTCTGTTGATATCTCTGGAATGCAAATTCCTTATATGGTCTACAATGCATGAACTGCTCCATTAAGAATGTATCTCTTCTCACAGTAGTGGGGTTTTGTAGTAAAACAGGTGCAGTAAAATAGAAAGTAGAATAATACCCATGCATACAGTGTTCTTTCTGACCTGCAGGTAATTTGAAACATACATATAGATGTACGTATATAGAAAAAGAGGTACAAAATATATTTAAAATAATTTGCTGAAATATTCAGTTATTTAATAATAATAATTCAACAGTATTAATCAGTGTTAAATTATTTTTTCTTTTATATAATTTTATTAGTATAGAAGTAGTGGACTAAACCCTACTCATGAATCACAGATTAGAAAATATGTTGTCACTTTCTGATTCAAATCTAAATGCTGAAGATCATTATATTCTGCTAGTTTAGCATTATTTCCTGTAAGATGACACTATTAGATATTTTAAATTTGAAACTGTCTGTTATTTTCTTATTTCAAATATAAAAGGCTTAATGAAGTTTACTTTTCAAAATGCTGTCTACAGGCTTACACACAGCTTGTCCTCTGCAGCAAAGGCAATATATTTCACAAGCCTATGATTCACAGTATGGTAGTTCCAAGAACATTGCTCAGAAGACAGTAACGAGCTCAAAAACAGCGTTGTCTTTTTGATGAGTTGGTAACAGTGGTCTCTCCAGGCTTCGGTTAAAGTGCATTATTGTACTCTGTGTGAAGACTGTAGGCATGGTTCATGTTTTAAGTACAGCAGTGGCTATTGTTAAATAGCACCAGCTAATCATTATTATGTCTTTGGAGAGACATCTACTGCCATCAGAGACTTGAATGATATATTAATATTTGTTTTGTCATAACATATGCAAACCCAGGGAAAGAATATATGTGGTCTGTCAGTCTCAAGGTGGCGCCGCTCCTGAAAAGCAAAGCACATTCTCATCACCAAATTGAATGTGACTAAAAAACATGGGAATGAAAGCATCTCTTACATAATGTGAATGTTTTGTAAAAAGATTATCTTCAGCTATAAAAAAGTTACATGACATAGGATAGCTTAAGAGAAGCAAATTTTTGAGGAGACGTACTTTTTCCTTTTCTGGGTCTTGTTGAGATACTTATTCCAGAAAATCCTGTGTGTGCAAAGAAACCAGTTTTATCAACACATAGTATCTTCAAAGGTTTGAACAGTTGGCCTGAGAGCCAAAGCTTCTCTGTTATTACTTTTAGCACAGAAGCTATGAGAACCACAGAAGTTGTGGCAGGTTGGCATCCCTCCCATACATACTGCTGACAATAGACTTGATATACCGTCAGAGTGGTGCCATTAGAGGCAAGGATCTCGAGAACTAGATTATACCATTTAACATTCAATATGCTAGAATTTATTTCCTTGTGCTAGAACTTTAGGTCTTGATCTTTGTTCTATAATACTAAATTCTACTTTTTCTTCATATAAACGAAAGCACAGAATGGAAGACAATAGTTGAAACAGCTAAAAATAACTTTTCAGTATACCCCTTACTCAAGAGTTCTCCCTCAGGGATCCTCACAGTCTTATTTATACAGAAACAAAACTGGTTTAATCTATGATATGGACATTTTGAAACACGAGACTATTTTTTGTGCAAGTCTGTTCAGAGGATTAGCAAGCAGTATCTTGTAACCTAAAATGTCCCAAACTTCTTTAAAATGTGGACAGTATTTTGAGAATCAACCGATTTTCAAGCTGTGAAATGCTGTTGTTTATTTTCTGCTGTTGATTCTGTCTCAAAGGCCCTTTTGTTATTGGTATAAGTTGCTGCTGTTAGCTCAGTCATTCCTCATGTTTGGGTATATATTATTCAGTCAACAGAATTTGTCCAACTGAAAAAGAAAAGCAAGTTAAAATATTTGTTTGAAAGTGATCTTAAAAACTGCATGCAGTGAAGGAGGAGTCTTCTTAAAATAAATCCATAAAAAACCACTAACAAACACAAAAAAATGGCAGATATGACTTGGAAAATGACAATTTCAGAGTAATTATAAATTAAAGGCAAAGTGCTATTAAAGTTAAAGCAATGTTATTAAAAGATGTGTTAATTTTCAGTTAAATTTTCTGTAAAAGACCAATTAGTTTAAAAGGCTTGACAGCATTAACTGCAAAACATAAGCACTCTGGTAATTATACTTTAAAAAATGATTGAACAAACGGGAGAGCATCCCTGAAACATTTGAAAGGGCTGCACTACAATTCCGGAGCATAGGCTAGGTGGCACTGCTAGCTCAGATATCTGTCAGAATTTCCTTGCTCTTTACCCAGTTTCAGTGTCTATGATGCTTTTCCTTTTTTCTGTATTTGGACTACACCTATTTCATATTCTCATTCCGGATGCTGATTATAGCAATGTCATACAGATGTCTGGTGTGGGGTTCAGTTAATGGCAGCAGCAAACAAGTATTTCTTCAGTTATGATTTTACAGTCAACAAAAGGGATTCACTACCATCACTGGAAAGTGTCTTGTTACTTTAAGTACAGCAGCACCTTTCCAAAGACATTCTGTATATTGGTTTCTTATAAGTACTGGCATATCCAGGCCACGTACCCTCCCACAGAGCAAGTAGAAGATCACTCTCAAATTAATTTCAGTGTATTATTATTCCAAAGGAAATGGATATCAGCCACTTCAGCTTTTCCAAACTGGCAAGAGGTAATGACAGGAGTCTGATTTTTGTGACAATCGAAAGCATGGACAGATGGGTTTTTCCTGAGGACTGTTAAATATATTAGTACAGGAGGAAGCGACCCTATTTAGCTGAAGGTGACAAGTTACAGCTTCCTCTTCATGTATCCTTTCTTCCTTATGGTTGGGCATTTTCTGATGAGTTGCAATGCCAGAGCAGTCCGTCCTGAAAGTTGGAATCTTTTCACTTATTGATGGCAAAAAAACAAAAACCATCATTTGGCTGCACTCATCCATCTGATTAAATGGTGACATGCACATCAGTCATGGTGTGAAACCCAAATTAAGCCATTGTTCCAAGACAAATGTTGTCTTCTTTCCTAATAAGTGTCTTAGCTTTGCCTTAACATTTGTCTAGCAGTGGGAGGCCTTTCTCCGGTGACAGCATTCTGTTCCATTGATAATAGACCTGATTCTTTTCTCATTTGCATCAGTTTCATAGTAGTGTATGGCTCCCAGAGTTACTCCTGGCTGGCACATGGGATAAGTCAGAATTGGGGCCATTATGTCTTAATTGCACGGGGGTTTGGGGGGCGGTTATTTTATTTTATTTTATTTTATTTTATTTGTATTAATGAATTTGTGATAGGTGCCTGACTTGATACATTATTTTACTACTGGTTTAATTTCTCAGCTTAATACGAGATCTGTAGTAAAATGAGCAATATGGCCACAGTATAATTTCTTAGTAGATCATGCTTTAGTGAGCTACAACTGAATTTATGATAAGGGGTAATTGTGCACTTGCACAGTACAAAATTCAGATGAGATAAGAGTATATGTGTTTAAGTCTTAGAATCTGGCTATAGTTGCTATAATTTGAATTACAGACTAAAGAGAGAGAGAAGGAGTTGGAGACCAGTGAAGGCTGACCTAATGATACCTCTTAAAGCGTAATAAAATTATTAGTACAATTTTAAACTTTTGCGTGTTTCTAAGGTGGTTGCCTGTTTTACCAATCACTGCAAGTGGTATTACTCCATTTTAAACAATACTCTGTAGAAAACATGAGAATCTCAGGACATAGGACTTGACAAAACATACATCTGAATGTTTTTTAATATAAACTTTTCTCATAAACGATACCTTTTGAGGTACACAAATGAGCATCCATCAGTCTTAAAGCAGATGAACATTTCTTACTGGTGTTTGCCTCATTGTAAACCAGACTTGAAAAATCTACCAGTAAAGATATACTTTACTTTTGGTTCATGTTCTTCTGTCTTGATTTATAGATGTAAAACAGAATAGCATTTCTGAATAATACTAAATCTCACTACTTAGAGAAGAAAAAGGAGTCAAAAATACTGAATAAAAGAGTGGGGAAGGCATGAGAAAAGATACTATTGCAGAAGATGGTATGCTTATGTGAAGATGTGTGCTTAAAGTGCCATATAGAATATGTTGAAGCACATTTTTACTGAAAGGGCTTTTCCAGCTTCTACAATTGCAGTACCTCCAATCTCTAAATCTGGCAGAATTTCTCTTTATATCCATGTGTCGTGTTTATACTCCAGCCAGCAACTAAGCACCATACAGCTGCTCGCTCACTCCCCACCCCCCACCTCCGGTGGGATGGAGGGAGAATTGGAAGGGTAAAAGTGAGAAAACTCTCGTGGGTTGATAAGAACAGTTTAATAATTGAAGTAAAATAAAATAGAATAGTAGGAATAGTAATAATAATAATACACAATAATAATATACAAAGCGAGTGATACATTGTACAATTGCTCACCACCCATTGACCGATGCACTGAGCAGCGATCGCTGCCCCCCGGCCAACTCCCCCAGTTTGTATACTGAGCATGACATCACATGGTATGGAATAGCCCTTTGGCCAGTCTGGGTCAACTGTCCTGCCTGTGCCCCCTCCCCAGCTTCTTGTGCACCTGGCAGAGCATGGGAAGCTGAAAAGTCCTTGGCTAGTGTAAGCACTTCTTAGCAACAACTAAAACGTCAGCATGTTATCAACATCATTCTCATACTAAATCCAAACCACAGCACTATACCAGCTACTAGGAAGAAAATTAACTCTATCCCAGCTCAAAACAGGACACCATGAAACTAGTGTCAAGTAACATTGCTGCCTAACTGCAGGAGCAAAGGAATTGTGCTAATTATTTGAGTTCTGAGTGGTATATAGTATACACTGACAAAGGCTAAGAAAAGAGACTAAGCTTAATGCCAATTTTTTTATTCTCAGTACTTCCATATTGGAAAAGTATAGCACATTAGGAAGAGTTGCCAAAGAAGGCAACTCTCCCACCTCAGGGACATCAAGGAAGAAGTAATTGAAGAATAAACAATCATGCCTGAATGTCTTCTCTCTCTCACCACAGCAATTCCTATTAAACATCCTGTAATCACTCCAGACTTGTATTCCTCCAAGGGGTCACATTGATGTTTCTATGTGTTAAGAAAGGTTTGAGTATTACACTTGAATTATTACATAGTGCCTCCACGTATGTAAGAGACGATTTGAGATTAGCTGTTGTTTTAGACTAACTGAATCTTCCTGAACCCCTGCTAATGTCAGACAACTCTTTACAGTACCCTTTGTATTTAAATTATGTAGTGCCTTACCTGGGCTAATTTAAAATAATTGGAGTTGATGAGATGCAAATATTTGCTTTAGGGCATGTATAACAATAACAATATGTTCCTCTCATTTTAATTTAGTCAACAGGTGAATGGCATATAAGCCTATGTAAATAAGCAGAGAAGCTTGAAGTTATGAAACTTCAAGGTAACAGTGAAAAACGTTGCTGCATAGAATTCATTTTCTCCTGTTTTATCTGCCATCTCAAGTGAACAATAAGACTGAAGTTCCATTATACAAAGAAAGAATATCAAAGTAACATGGATAGGAAGCCAGTTCTACTTTTTGATCTCAGGATAAAATATTTCAACCTGTACCTCAGTTTACCCATGTATTAAATACAATTACGTTATATGGATAGAGCAATGAATTTCATTGAAAAGTATTATTTTAAAAGTATTATCTTTGGACAACAAGCACTGTTTGAGAACTCAGTATTCATTCTTACTTGGTTGGATTACAGGCATTTGTTCCAAGTCCTAAGTTCAGCAAAAGTCACAAATCTAGTAATGGAATCCACAGATCCAGTAATGTCAATCCTGTGTACTCTACAGTGAGCTCATTTTCTTCTCATATGTCCCCCACACTTGCAAAGCTTCTAAAAACAGAGACATTAGTGACATTGTAAGTGATGATGTCTCCTTTTTTTGTTCAACATTATTTTTTGCCCAGTACATTACACTGCAGATATTTAACTGAGTATCTCTGAACTATACCAGTATACTTTTAAGTGAACTTGAAAGTCATTCATCTGGCATTAAATTAATATTTAAAATATCCTTTGTTTGCCTGACAGACCAGCAATGCTACAGATGCTGGCAAAATGTCAGTGTGGAGTAAATCTTCCCTAATAAACCACACTTACCCTATACCCTAGAGTTTTTTAAAAGGACCACCAGGATCCCAAACTCATCATACATTTATCTGGAATGAACTCAAGATGTTTAATTGATACATGCTTATGTCTGAACACTGTCAAGTCTCGTAATAAGATGTTTAGTACAATACATCGGTTAGACTGCTAGAGTCCAGCCACAGTAATAAGTAATGACATTTGCAGCACAAAGGCAGCTCCCCAATGAATTGGTGACAAGAGTAAAAAGGCAATCTAGCCTGTGTAAGCTTTAAATGTGGTCTGAATTTTACAATTACATGTCCTAAAGCCCATTATTAGACATGAAGGCAATGAGAAGGAAAGCAGTCATTGCATCACTACTAACACCAATTATAGGAAACATAAATCATTCAAATTTTTGTACTTTAATAAAAATCAGCCTGAATTGGTGTTTAAAAAGAAGGCTCTAGTATAGGAGCCTAATGGGATAGAAGAAAATAGAGTAATTGGAGGCTGCTGTCTTTTCACTTTCTATATAAAATTATTTGAAGAGACAGCCAAGAACTTTAAACAGCAGAAACCCAGAAAAGTTGTAATTTGGATGTCTTCAGTTGTGACTTTAATGGTGTTTGCTTAAAGAGCTTTCTTTTATCTCTGCAGACATACTTCAATGACAATATCCTCACACTGATACGGACATTGGTAACAGGAGGAGCCACACCAGAGCTGGAAGCACTGATTGCTGAGGAAAATGCATTGAGAGGGGGTTACAGCACACCCCAGACACTTGCAAACAGGGACAGGTGTCGAGTTGCTCAGTTGGCTTTGTATGATGGGCCGTTTGCAGACCTAGGGGTAAGATTGAGGGAAATGTAGGACCAAGGCTGGTCTGCAATCTGTTTTCTCTCAGACTGAATTAAAAATCTATCTTAATTAGTGTATAATTTCTATTATTTAATTCAATAGAGCTTTTGGATCGTTTGACAATTTACAGCACAGGGTGCCAAGTTTGCTCTTACCCTTTTTAAGAAGCTATATGACTTTCCCAATTCCTTGCCTGGATATTTCATACAGAAAATCCTGTGGTGGTTCTTAGTTGTCAGCTAAAGAGATGAATGAGCTGACTTGGATGATATAACCATTCTAACAATAATGCATTGTAATCATGAGGAATATCTATACCTTTGTTGGGTTTTGATAAGCTTATTTAGTCTTTCTACAGAGCTTCTAGTTCTTGCTTAAAATATGCTTATTAGCTTGAAAACAAAACTATAAGGTTTGTTTTCTGCTGTTTCTGAATGAACTAAAATTCTTGCAAAATCCTAATTTTCTGACATGTTGACTCCACTATCCTTAGAGTGAGGTAAAAAAACCAAAACCAAATAAACAAACTATCTTTAAAAAATGGTGCATTTGCATAAAGAAGTATCTAGAAAAGTTTTCTGGACCATATCTTGTAACCGTGAGGGGAATCCCAAAGCATTCACTTTGCTTTGATGATGATGATGTAGGATTTGATATTTCTTAAATTAACCTTGTGTTCACCAGCTCTGTTCAAAAAGAATGAAGCAACCTTCTTCACAGAAATGACAGGGAATCCCAGTTTAAGGATTAAGGGTGATGAGAGTGCACAGATAGAAGTAAACAGCCTTTCAGTTCATCTAGAAGTCCATTCGTAGCTGAGACTAACAGCTCATCAAAACACTTGAGCATGCAGCTTAACTTTTTCACAAATAAACAAGCAATACCAATCCTTCAAATGCTATTTCACCAGAGCCTCAGTTGCACTACATCAGTGAAGACAGAATGCATTAACACTACTCATCATTACTTAAGAATCAATATTTTGGATATACAAATTATCAATTCTCAACTTTTTTTTACTAAATTATTTATGAAAAATGGCATACATTTAATCATTTTAAAGTGGGAGATATTTTATTATCCTTTTAACCTCTCAGAACTCTAATTTCTGTTGCACTCCCCAGTGAATTGATTTGTCTAGATGACAGTATGGCTACTGCCAAAAAAGAGGTCAAAAATACTAACAATTTTAATACCAATACCAAAACAATTTGTAGAATATGCATTGTTTGGTACTACAATTTATATTTCCAGCTTAAAGCAAATCACTCACTCTTCCCAATTTACCATCATTTCATGGACCAGGGCTCTCCAAAATAACGATCACTTTACATAACTACTTATTTGAAATAAAACATTTAGATTATTCATTTCCTTGGGTAAAAGATTCTCATTTGTGACAAACAATAGACTGTCTATGAATCGCCTTTTTTGTATAGGGTCATACTAAAAATCCTATTCCCTGACATTGTGTTAACAGAGAAAAGAAAGGAAAAAAATGTGCTGTTCTCTCTCTTTTTTTTTTTTTTTCCCCTCTTCTTTCTTTCTCCTAGGATGGAGGTTGTTATGGAGATCTATTTTGTAAAGCACTGAAAACATACAATATGCTTTGCTTTGGAATTTATCGATTAAGGGATGCACATCTAAGTACTCCCAGCCAATGCACTAAACGGTAAGTCCAGTCTTTTAGAACATCTCTGCTTCACTTTCTTCAGTCTTCTCAGCGATGAAGATCCCAGTGCCTGTAATAAATCTAAAAAAGAGCTTTCTCCATTTTTTACATAGCTTTGCCACAAAAGCTAGCTCTTTGAGGACTTTGTGATGACTCTTTAGCTGAGTTTAAATCGGAGACTGGATATCATAGCATAAGTTTTCAGCTAATTTTAATAAAAAAATTTCAAAGTAAATTTTCAGAACATATCTTTATCTTGTTTGATTTATGGTGATCTACGGCTTCCATACAAGGAAAGGACTTCAGTTTGCTTATATCAATCAGCTGTAAGTTACTGGATAATAATTTATATTATAGTAGCTAGACTTTCTTTTTTCTGAATGCTCAAAAAATACTCCTGTGGGCTTCCGATTGGTGCTGTCTGTATCTAATCATCATTTCTTCCAGTAAATGGAAACCCTTCTCTTGGTAGACTGCATTTTTACTTCAGTAGCACCAAGGCTGACCTCAGTGCTTTAAATAGAGCAGATACATTTCCATCTTTGCAAACTGATGGCCATTTAGCAACTTACTTGAAATCTGTCTTCATTAAGTGCCTACTAGAAATACACACACAGACCCATACTAGAACTATCACAAATCTAGCATCTGTTACTGTTTCATTCTCTGCAAAAAGCATCATTATTGGGTGAACATGGCAATAAACAACCCTGCAGCCTACCAAAGCAGTTTCTTCTGTAAAGATTTGGGCAAATTGGGTAGAAAAAAATTATTTTCAGTTTAGATTTACACTGTACTTTCTATACTTGGGATTATTTGTTGGATTAATAAGTGACTTCTGTCCCTGAGGCAGCTAAACCAGATTACTTACGAGCACTGAATTAGTTTGAAAAGAAGTTGTGAGCTTCATGATCAATTTTTACTCATTTCTTGCTTGGGCAGAAAATGCCTATTGCCTTGCTCAAATATGTTTTTCACATGCATGAAAAAATTCAGCAGCGGGGTTTATAAGCCTTTCCTACCCTGAAAGGGGGTTAGTTGAAGGTGGGGATTCTTGAAATTGATAAAGTTTTTATTTCAGGCCTGGGATGTACCCTTAGCAATGCTGGATTCTTGGATGTGCAGATTTCTCTTTATAAATGCTCTTTGAGGCTATGAATGTACATGTGGAATGAATGAACAAAATTAACCACACTGCAAATTTGCTGATATATTTTTCTTAACTTGTTTTATGTACAGGCACAATCCAAACAAATAATTACATCCCTTGCTCTATTGACAGTATTTAAATATGTAATAAATATATAGTAAATATATATTTAAATATAACTGCACCTAAAATCCTCCTCTCCCTGCTTTTCAGCCATTCTTTTCAACACCATTGCTGGTGGGTATGTTACTGGTTTTTGTCAATATGTAAATCTGTTTGCTAGAGTCATTGCATTACAGTGTAGCTAGAGAAAGGAGGGTGATTTGTATAGTCTTTCTGAAAAATCATGACATGATTCACTTGAAGAACATCCTACTCAGACAGTATGTCTGTGCAACAGAAAACATACAAAAAGTAATATCTGGCATAAGAAGGTCCTAAATCATAATGGGTATTATGTGAGCTAAAATTAGGTACACACTGAAGGAAACAGAAATGGAAAAATCTGGGTAAATGTTCATGAGAGAAAAATCTAGAAGAAATTTTTTAGTACAAATCTAAACCTGCTTTCTCTTTCTTTCTTTCTTTCTTTCTTTTTCTTCCTTTCTTTTCAGTTATGTTATCACAAACCCACCATACGAATTTGAGCTTGTGCCGACAGACTTGATCTTCTGTTTGATGCAATTTGACCACAACGCTGGCCAGTCCCGGGCCAGTCTTTCTCATTCCTCCCATTCCTCCTATTCTTCCAGCAAGAAGAGCTCATCCGTTCACTCCATCCCATCAACAGCAAACCGACCGAACCGCACCAAGACCAGGGATTCCCGGGAAAAACAGAAGTATGTGCAGGAAGATAGACTTTGATATGTGTACCTGCTTCCACTGTGTGTGAAACTTGCATTCACCACCCATTCTCCCTTGTTAATGTTTCCAGCAGTAATGTTCCCTGTTTTCCCATGGAGCTCTCCCTTTTTGTACACATATTTTGCATATGTATGACAGTGTGCATGTGATTGTCATTTTTATTTCACCACCATAAAACCCTTAAGCACAACAGCAACAAAGCAGACGGACCAAAAGTTATTTATGATGCTAGGGGAGGAAAAAAAATTTTAAACCCATAGGCACACTGAAAACATAAATAACTCACTGCAGTTACTCTACGTATCAGAAAATAGAGTATATTTAACATGAACACTTGCTTTTGATGTCAGAGTTACACAAAGAAAATCATTTAGTGCAGAAGTGTTGATGTCTGTTGCTGTAAGTTTTGTTATATTCATATTTACAGGAGTTGCTACATTTATTTGAAGCTTATAAAACTAACCCATTGAAAAGAAAAAAGAAAAAAAAAAAAAACAAAACACCCAAAAAAATCCCTACTGATTTTTGTCTCTCAAAGCTTATATTGTATAGGGCTTACACTCTTTGTATAGATTATTGCTACGCACCTGCTTTATACCAAAGCAACATCAGGGACTTTTCTGCTTGTTTAAGGACTTTCTCTAAAATACTAGCCTTTTGGAGATAGTTTCTTTTCCCTTTAACACTGAAATTGTCTGGGCATGGAGTTGTAAAACTGCAATGGTTTAGTTTAAGTTTAGAAAGAGTCTAATTGCATATTAAATTATTATTCTGTCTATTTATACTGCCACATGAATAGCTATATTTTCTTTCACTTTTGACATTTGGGATAAAAAGCCATATGTATCATAAATATTGGATGTAAGTCATTAAAAACTGCCTTCCTGGGACTTTTACGTCTTTAAAAGGTGAATTAGTCACCTTATGTACAGAATAAATAATGTTCAGAAAAGAGCAAGCATTTTTCTGTGCTTAAGTATCAGATCTTGAGGGACTTTGTTCCTTTCCCCAGATGGTAGTTTAACTTTTCCAAGTTAGAGTGGTGGTATAAATCTTCCAACAAGAGTCCTAATATGCGAAGATCCTCCAGAAATCCTGCTCCATGTTCTAGTTGGTTCTTTTCAACAGGTGCATGCCAGTACGCAGGAATACAGGGGAAGACAACCGAGTGCCTTTAAGGTCTCTCCCATTTGGGAAGAAAAGGTGCTGTGCCCTAGACAGCTAATGAGCAGAACAAGAGGGCTGGGGTGGATATATTCACCGTGCTGAGGCATCATGTTCTAGGCACTTGCCAGAGTTTGGTTCTTGCAGATTCTCACCCATAACACACCTAGCCAAAAAAAAAATCATGGCAGGAAATTAAATAAAGTAGTGGAAAGCAACCTATCCTAGACAGCCATAGAAATGATATGTCAAGCTGTTTTTTTTTAATTTCAAATGCCAACCTTTTGAAATATAGAACTAGTTCTAGGTGGTATGAAGAGTTTCCCATGGTAGGGAGGCCAGAAACACATACCACCTTCCCTGGCTACCCAGCAAGAAAGCATGCAGACAGAAAATAAATACTTAGATGTGGGAGTGATTAGCATTGTAACTGCCAACCCAGACAAGGTGCTTTTATGGTTAGTGTTGTTTTCTACCTTCCCCTTCCCCAAGCATGATAATTTTGAAGATTTGCTTGCTGTGTGAATTGACAATGAAGCCAAGCACTTTTACTGACAAAACCTGGAACCATATAAGTGGGCTACAGAGAGTACCACTGTGCAGTGTTAAGCATAATGATTGGAATACAGTATATATGTGTGTATGCATTTAAATGCAGCTGTAAGTCCTATCAGTGAAATACATTGCAAATTATGGATGCTCCCCTACAAATGAGTCTATTACAGTTGCTCTTCCTCATAAAGACAAATTCATGTGTTTCTTTTTGCAAAGAAAGTTATCATGTTTTGCCCTAAGAATATTTATTACTACAAGGATGTGCCAGTTAAAGTGCTCAACAGGAAATATGACAGTTTAAAAGCATTGTAAAACTTACATAGCTTACTTCTTTTTCTAAAGTGCAACAAGGATGAATAGAATGGGCCAAGGTATGATAATTAATGGTTCTGCATGACCTAGCAACTGCTGTGGGTTTCCTTCTATAACTTTGTCCTTGTGAAAACTTGTGAAATTAAAAAAAAAATAGTTACAAACTTTATTCAGTTATTGGTTTGTTTGTTTGGTTGGTTGTTTTGTTGGTTTTCTTTTGCCTTTTTTTTCCCTCCAAACCAGAAGTAAAACTGGCTGCTGCTGCTGCTGCTGTTGCTCAACCCTGTTTTATTTTTTATCCTCTCATCTGCTTGCCTTTCTAATTGCACGTGTCCTTTTGTAAACACCCAGGTTCCTGCTCAATGAAGATGCCTACCCTGGTGCAGACATTACTTTAATTTCCCATTCCTCATTCCAATTTCTTTCCTCCCTTCCCCTCCCTACTCCTTTGTCCCCTGTGTATGTTCACGAGCATCTTTTTATGTTGGCAATATTGACTGAAGATAGTTCAGAGCAGTTATGCATTTTGGAAGAATGTTAATGGCTTTGACACCAAAATGCTTTTCCATTAATGTTTTATTTGTTTTCCATTTACCAGAGGAAGGAAGGGTGTTAATACGAAGCCACTTGTCACATACTACATAATGATTTTATCCAAAAAAATAGTATTTGTATAACTGTGCAACTCAAATAGAAAAAATATAAACAGTGTATATTGGAGAAACAACTTGTCTACTTTGTGAGCAACAGAAGAGGAATATCTAATATGGATGCAAATCTGAATTCTTCAGATCATATTGAAGTCTAATTCTCCTCCATCTTCTGTCCTAAAGTTGGAAGTCTTAAAGTTTTGACTTTTAGTAATACCATGTGCAATTTTCACTGCTAACTATAGTAAAATTGATTAAATAGTATATTACAGTGATGAAGATTTTCTGATGTGGATGTACTAATGAAATTGGGAGGTTGGTCATTACAAGTAGAGGAATGTTTAAATCGACTATGTTATGTTGTCAAGATTTTTTATATTGAAAAGTAACAGGAAATCTCCCGTTTGTTCAGAAACCTATTCCAAGTCAAACATTCTTAGTAACTACCCTGGTTAGTTTTTGAAAGCGGAAAAGCAGCACCAATGTCAAGACCATTTCAGAGCTTTAAATGGAGGTCCTGCCACTTATATCAGACCCAGCATGGTTTTGACAATGGAAACTAGGTTCTTAGTAACTGTTGATCTGAGCGTTGACACAAAATCACATCTAGAAAACCTGCAGGTTCTTAGCATGGGTTCCCACTGGCCTAAACTGGCAGAGTCAGACATTTTCCAGTGAAATTCCCACTGTCAAAAGTAAGAATTTTGCTAGTTTAAAAAATAAAAAAAATCAGCAAGAGCAAGTCCAGAATAGCGTTTTTGTCCCAAAACTTTGGTTGCCTTGGAGCAAAACAAAGACCTTCACAGAAAGTTGGAATAGTTTCTTATCTCTCTCCCTGCAAATTACTTACTGCCTGCTACATGTAAAATATTCATCTGCCAAACAAAGAATTGCTGAGCAGGTGGGTGGAGAAACTTTCATTACTTTTTTCTCATACAGGAAGAAATTGCATGGGAGAATTTTCAGCTTAGCTATAAACAAGCTGCCTATGTGGAGGAGGGGAGGCACACACATACATACAGTCTCATTTGAAACTGCAAGTGTCACAAAAGAAAAAAAAGTGCATTTAAACCAATTGTAAGGTAACCTGGGATTATGGTGAGAATATAGATTTAGTAAATCTTTGTGTCATGTTTAGCTAATACTTTCTTTGCCTCTGCTTAGACGAGAGGGTGTTTCACAGTGACATTTAGTCAAATGTGATTACTCAGTCCAGAATTAAGGAAAGAAATCATTTTACTTCAATTATTTGTATCTTTTTATGCTGCAGGGAACAGTCTTACACAAGATGTTAATTTTTATTTATTTGTGATAAGAGCGTGAAGCCTTTAGAACCTTCACGGACACACTGGGATGCTGATAGCCCATTGCAAACACAGCTGTTTGAGAAGAAAGTAAATGTTTTCTGCTTTCTAATATGTGAAGTTACTTAGCTGTTTCAACATCTCTCAGGTGATGCTGTCAAAAACAAACCCGTCAAATAGCATAGGAAGATGAGGGACTCTCTTGAATAGCTCTTAAAAAAATAAACAGTAAACTATGCCTGTTCTCACTATAATGTAGAAACACATATGTTAAGGATCAATATGCATATGCCAAAAGGGAGAGAAACACACTTAACATGACAAAGAACTAAAAAAAAGTTGGTGAAGACAGCAATATATAAAGACTTAAAAAAGGGTTTTCTGGACTGATTTAAAGGAAAGAGTAAGTAGTTTGTTTAAGATACATAAAAATCTCTGCTAAGACTTTGGAAGACATATTAAAGTCAGTCTGTGAGCATAACAAAAAAGATTGAAAAGGGATTCAAGAAGGACATTTAGTAACTGGGAGCAGAATATCTTAGTGGCCAAGAGTAAAGATGAGGAGTGTCAAGCTCACATTTCAAAGGTAAGTATAGAGGCTGATGGACTTTCACAGGAGATTCGTCATTATGTGGTCAAAGACAATTTTAACAGCAGAAAAGGAACAGGAAAGGTATAAAGCTGGGTCCAAGCATTTGATGCTGAAGATGATAATGCCTGGATCAAGGTTTCAGCACTGCCAAAAAGAAATTTAAACAGCAAAAGAAATTAGAATCTACCAGTTTCTGCATTTGTTATTTATTTTCTGTATTTATTACTTTCCAGGTGAAGGCAAAAAGAAAGTTGATGGTGTCTCTTTAAAGATCAGCTCCCTGGATATGAGTTTTATTCTAAAGATTAACATATAAATAATTGCCTTGTTTTGAAAATTCCAGGGAAAGCAGGGGAGATAGAAGCGCTTTGCACTGGATGCTGAGAAACACAGTGCAGTTCATCCCTGATCCTTAGCACTCATGAAGTTCTCCCCTTTCTTGCTATGAGATTGAATTAACTTGCACCAAGTTCTGTTTGTAAGGAAACTTTGTGCACCATATGTTAAAAAAAGAACATAGAGATAAAAGTTCACGGTGCTTAACTTGCCTCAAAATCATTTTAAACACAAACCATTAGAAAACTGTTAGTTTGAAATTGTTTATGTGATCTTGCAAGGCTTTTAAAACATGATAACCATCACACTTTACACCTCTCTGAAAGGTTAGTTTAATCGTAGATCACATAAAATTGGTTTCCACAAATGCATAATGGTTCATATGTCACACTTGAACTAAATGGTTTTTTAAATGGAGCTGAAATTATTTTGATGTGTACACATTCCCAGATTTTTTTTTTTTCCTACAACCTTTCTTAAACCAGCCCCCACCAGGAACCATTCCCTTAAAGTCTCATTAATAATTCAGATGTTCTGATGACTTTAAAAGATCTATGGAATTGAGGCTTTTTTTTTTTTTTTTTTTAACTGCTTGACAAAAAGATAAATGAATGTAGAAAGAAGCGGTAGGAGTCTGGCAAGCTGTAGATCATCTCTGAACAGATTGTAACTTTATCATTCTGTCAGGAAGAATAATTTAAAGCACTTAATCAGTTAGCTTCAGTGTGCAGGATGTAACATTATGAATTCCTATCGTCCAATCTGTTCAAATCAAAGGGAACTTAATTATAATAGGTAAGAGAGAGAGAGAGATGGGAGATTGAACATTGTTCAGACTCTGGCAACTTTAAGAGGGCAGGGAACTATTTACCCTGATCACAAATGAGTAGGATATTTTAAAAAGAAGTAAAATACATTTTAGAAAATTACAAGAAAAACAATACAGTAGTTCTGTTTACCTTCAACAATAAGCCACTAATGCTTAATACAATTCCTTTTTTTTAATTTAAATTTTTTAAAAAGCATAAGCACAAATATATCTGGAAAAAAAAAAAAAGATGGATTAAACGCTCATGAGTTTGGGGTTTGTTGTTGGGGGGTGGGGTGTTGCATGTAGATGCTTAAAAAAAACCATATCAAGTATAAGTGTTTAAATTTCATATTCATGAAAGTCACTGAGAAGTCCAGTAATTCTGGAAATCAATCCACTTCTTTAGAGGCCCTAACTTGGAAGCTAGTTGCTTGTGTTTATGCATTTATGCCCAGATATTTGTCCTTCATTCTTCCTGGTCTTCCAGTTCCTATACTCTGCTTCACCTCCTGAGCCTTTGCGCTCGATCCTTGGGTTTCTGAGGTGGATTTTGATTTGCTTATTTTTATTTATTTATTTATTTAAAATGAGCACTCCTTCCACTCCTGCCCTGATTCCAGCCCAGATACAGGAGCATTTCAGTGGTAAGCAAAAGTGGCAGTTTGTATTATGCAAGTGAAGCATTTTGGGTTCCCTGTTGGAATGAGAGGTAGTGCATACATGTAAGAGAGCAGCTCTGATGTGCTCCAGTTGCAGAATTCCATCCCCAGAACCATTTGTGCCCACTGCTCTGCACATCCGCCTCTGGAATTTGCAGAAGGAGGGCAAGAATGGAGGCCCTCTGTTCACAAATGCTTGTCAAAGCACAAGCACCTAATGGTCCTAAGCCACTATAAGACCAGGAGTTTTTAAGTCTTTGAATAGAGCTATCTTGTAAAGTTGCACACCTGTAATTAAGAAATGACAGTAGTAATTGCTCTCTAAAGGGCTTAAGAAAATTCTTTTGCTTTTTCTTTTGTGCATTTTAAGAAGTTTTTGTCCACACCTGTATGAACAGTGCAATGTAGTAGTTACAATCATAAGTAAGTGGCTAGGAAATGGCTGCAATGCTGCAGCCTCTCGGCATCCTCACTCGCTCCCACATTACTCCCAGCCCACCCTAAATCAGTACCATAGAATTCTTCCTATGATCATGAAAACAAACACTGCCCAAAGATATAAAAGGAGCAGCTTCCCCTCTAATCTTCCTTTAAGTCCTTGCTTCCTTTGCCTTGCTGTCATGTATCACTACCAATCCATTCAGGATTAACTTGAGCCCCTACTACAGCCATCTGCAGCATCAGGTATGTTCCACGGCCCTTCCCAAACTGGAGAGTTCAGCAGAGCCCAAGCAACCAGGTTGCTAAGTAGCGATATAATGGCCATCCTGTGCAGGAACGCAGCCATCTGGCAGCATGAATGCCAACCCTATTTATTCTAGCACCAACTGCGGAACGTTCTTCTTTACATTCTCCTGCATGATGTCTGAGCCAGCGGTAGCAACAACCCCGAGGCTGAAATGTTTCAGAGAAGTCCCTGACTCTTTATGGTGCTCCTCTGTACATGGACTCACATGCTCTTTTCTGCATTACCCTTATCCCATCTGCTCTCCCTGGCTTCTCAGTTTAGCCTTTTTATGTATCATTTTTTTCAATAAATGAATCAGAGGGTGTTCACCTGAGCATGAAAAAAAAAAAAAGAGCGCTCTCACATTCAACAAGCAAACTAGTATATTGACAGTTTTCCTTAGCTTCTACTATCAAATCTGCAAACATGTCATCCTCCTTTCATGAAAAGTATTTTCAGAGGTATTAATCTAATGCACTGTACTGCTAGTAATTAGTCAAAGTCACCTTCTATTGATTGATTGCCTTTTCTCTATAAAGTTTACTGACTGCTCCCCCCTCTCTTGTTTGTTTGGTTTTTAGAGTGTTTTTTTTTTTTTGGTGTTTGTGTGTATATGTGCTTCACTAATTAAAACTCTCATTTTCCCTCCTTATTCTGTCTCTACCCATTTTGCTCCTTAGCAGAAAAGAAATGGTTTACAGATGAGCCGGATAATGCCTATCCCAGAAACATTCAAATCAAGCCCATGAGCACTCACATGGCCAATCAGATCAATCAATATAAATCAACAAGCAGCTTGATACCACCAATCAGAGAAGTTGAAGATGAATGTTGACTCCTTCAAGGCCAGAACTATTTTTTTAAAGCCTGACAAACTTCATGAATGGTGATGTGGCATTTATTCCTCTTACATGCTGAACCACTGATGGCGAAGTTAAGAAGGGCAAGCTTAATGGGAAAATAAAGTAGACAGATCTTTGTTTGTCTGCCTTTAATATTGCTTCCACGTATTTTGGAAACTATTTCATTTATAAATGAACATAAGCAAAACTAGTCATGTATAGCCTCTAGCGTTTTAAATTATTTTTATTTATTAGAAAAAAATATATTTTTCTTTTTTTTTTCATTGTCAAGTATTTTCCCTTAAAAAAACTGCATATGTGGCCAGACTCCTAAGAATTAAAAAAAAAAGCAAACTTCAGTCTTTGGCTTAAAGGAGAATGATGGTCACAGTTATAAGGACATGTAATTAAGGGAGACAAATGATATATTTACAAAAAGAAAAAAAAAGGTCCAACTTGTATTTTACTAAATCAAAAAAAGGAAAAAAAAAAAAAAAGAACAGTTCACCAAAATGTTTCTTTACTGGAGGATGTGTATTTTGTTCAGCATTGACACCAGCTCTTAATAAACTGAACTTATTTATTTTCAAAGTTGAAAGTCATATTTTTGTACATGTAACATTCTTCTGAAATATTCTTTGTTTTATTACCATATACAGATCATCTTAATTGCCAGTTATGTTAAGGTCCAACCGCCCTCACACACAGACTGCACCCCCCAACCCACCCTGCTACACAGACACACAGAGACGCCCAGCATCCTCAATAACTTTCTGCAATACTAGCATAGTGAACATCACTACCCTAAACCAAGGGCCATGTAGATAAGGTGCTCATAGGCAGCACTTGCTATAAATGGCAAATCTGGCAATTCCACTCCACTTCCCATTAGCCATCACCAGTTGCTACGTCCAGGAAGGCAAGCTTGGCAATTCCTCTTCTTTTACCATGTATTACAGTGCTTTGATCCACAGTGCATAAACAGTGCATGAAATCATAAGTTATAAGCCAAAATATAACCATATTTTGTTGGTTCCTTACTTCAAAAGTGCTGATGGCCTTGCATCAGTCTTGCTTATTTGGTTCAAATTATTCCTGATATGTATAGAGGTTTAGCTCCAGATCTTTTCACTTTGGTGATAGCTTATACCTTGGTACAAGGCACACTGAATCTCCTTTTGGTGAGTTCAGATCAGGATAAAAACTGGTTTAGCCTCAGTTCTATAATCTCACAACATGCTGTTCTCAGTTAGCTATTGCACCAAACAGGTTTTTTTCGTTTTCTTTAATTTATTTTCACTTTGCTGGGACACCACACATAAAAGTACAGTAATAACCAAATCAAAATAAAAGTAATGAATGTATTTATTATGATAACTTAACAAAAGGCCTTTGATGGGTGCCTTTTGTGTCAGCAATTTCACAAAATTGCCAATAAGCTTTATAGCCATCGGACAAAAATGTGATGTTTCATATCTGTGCTGCAGTATCTATCCACCCAAGCATTTGATGTTCTAACTGATTTAGTAACGCTCTCTCTATCTCAAATTAGCAACATCTGACACAATTGTGTGAAGAAGAAAAAAAAACCAAAAAAAAAACCCAAAGGCTGTGCTAATAAGGATTATAACAATAACATAGGACCCAGTCACCAGGAAAGGCAGATTTTCATTATGCAAGTTAACTTTAAGCTTTGTAATTTTGCAGAATTGTAAATACCACAATAAAACATACTGTGGTACTTTTATCATTAGAGAAATATCAGTGAATCAAACAACTACAAAGCAGATGAAGTTATTGTGAAAACAATGATGTCCACTATATAATCCAACATTTAAGCTAAACTATCTCAGCTTTAATGTTTGTCCACTGGCTGCAGTACAAATATAATCATATTAACACCTAATAGGCTTTATTCTGGAGTGACTTCTTGGACTGTGACTACTTTGTTGTTACATTTTGTAGAATAGCTATTTAAAGACAATAACGAGAATTGTTAATACAGTATCTGTAAAATTGGATTGTTTAAAATATTTCACTCTCCTACAAAGTAACAAAACAATTTAAGCAGTTTTTCATTATTATTAAGACCATGTTTAACCTATTTCACAGTCCTCAAAACAGAAGATGATTCTGGTGAGTTCTTCCAATCTATGCTGCTTCAGCTAGTGACACGTTATAATCTACATCCAGTTTCCGCGTTGGGTCATGTTAAGCCTTTACTTTGAAGTCAGTGCTCCTTTTTCATTTATGAACTGCATTCATATTATAACCAGAATGAAAAAAAGCTGGTCCTCAGTACAGGAGAATTTTTGAAATTTGTGTCCAGCTTCACCATATACATGTGATATTGTTTTTGGTTTGTTTTTTTTTTTTTCCTTAGAAGACAAGTGTTTAATGTAATGGCATAGAACATTACACCTTATACTCTATCATATACAGTGCCATTTCTGAGTGTCCTTCCTTCAGAAGTGAACATTCACTGGATAAAACATGAATCAAATGCAACACTCCTACATAGCTAAGGTTTGTGTTTGTCTCAGTCCAGCTTAACTGTCACACCCAAAAATATCATGCTGCCAATTGTACATAAATAAAGGACAAGATCTGAATACACTCACACTCTCTTGCAACACAGATAGTTCCATACGTAACGATAGATAGAATGAACAACACCTGGAGAGAGCACGTGAGACAAACAGGTATAGTTATGGATTTGCATTTCCCATTTATAGAAAAACTAAGAGCAATCAATAATATTTTCTTACTCCTCTTTTTGGTGATCAAAGACGCAGGGCTGACTTCTGGTAATTAGACTGAAGAACATGTAGAAAACCTGTCTGAGATCTTTGACATTCAGCCATTAAAGACTACACTAAGGTCAGCACCAATATTTGGATATATGAAGTTACATCATAGCAAGTGTCTGGGAAAGTGGCCTACGTGGCAGCTGTCAGACCACATGATGTAGAAATGTTTTTGCTCTTTATTAATAATTCTTACTCCTTTCTCAAAAGGCAACAAAAGTTGGGGGGGGGGAGGAGGAATTTCAGCTTTTTCATTAATTGCATGAACAATTAATACAGGCTAAACAATTTTTTTTTTTTGTTAACAACTCATAGTTTGCATATATGCATGTCCACACATATATATGGATGTGTGTATATATACACATATATATATATATGGGGTTGTATATGTATATTTCAGACAGACTCATCACAAGAAGGTGGGGGTTCTTTTTTGGGCGGGGGGGTGTGAAGAAAGACACAAAGAAAAAAATGTGACTTACAGGCTAGCACATGGAAGAATTGCACCTACTGTTTCCTCCTGGTTTGACCAAAAAGCAGCCATACCTGTTACATTAGCGATGCACTGACAGTACAATGCAGAAACCTCTCTCACTGCTGAAGCAGGTCTGTGCTCCTGGCCCCTCCTCACACCCATGCACATGTGTGCTCCCACATTGCTGGAAAGTCTACTGTCTCTCTCTCTTGTGGCTATTATTTTAACTTGTCCCTGAAACCCATGAGCACTAAGATGAAAGGAAAAAAATTGTCCTTCTATGGAGTGTTATTTGGGTGCAAGTGCCAAGCACAGCAAAAGTTAAGGTGTAAAGAAAAAAAAATATTCATAGTCTAAATGCAATTTTTAAAGGCCTCAATGTGACTGTCTTACTGTTGTTTGTAAGGTGATAAGTATACGATGTATTTATTAATAGGAAAAAATAAAGATGCAAACATTTCCTTGTATTTTTCAAAAACTCTCTAAAGCTGTCACCTTCGTTTTAACAGCTGTTCTTTTTTCAAATCAGCATCAATGGCCAAACAGTAGGACATACATGTGGCGGAAAGTACAAACCCCTTGATCCAGGGCAAATTCAATGCTACAGGTTCATTCACAATGTCGTTATTCCACCTGGGACCCTGCAAGCCCTACTAGCCCAAAAGCCACAAGCACAGGGACAGAGAAAGCAGGGTGTGAGGGGGACACAACACATCCAAGACCGCAAGCAAATGTAAGCATGTGGCTGTTTCCAAGTCATCTTTGATGGGAAAGCCAGTGCTTCTTATACACGGCAAAGGCCATGAGCTTCAGAACAATGAGGATCCCGTGTAGCCTTATTAAACCACACAGATGTCTTGAAAGAGCTGATGAGTCTTCAGCAGCTTACAGGCTGTTGTAGCAGCTGGGGCTGTACATGAAGCCAGGTTTAGATATACTAAAGATATTTTTTTTTCCCTTATTTTTGAACTTTAAAGAAAAAGGCCACCCAATGATTCAGGGAACATGGATGCGAAAAGACAATTGGCCTCAGCCAAATGTGGAAAAGGGGAAAAGTAGTTTGCATGTAATGTACAAGAGACACTGCAAAAGTATTGTGTATAGCCTTTTATTATAGGTTGTTGGGTGCTGGTGGGCGAGGTTGTTGTTGTTGTTGTTGGTTTTTTGGCCAGTGTAAGGAAGATTTGCATTTCTTGAACTCTTCATAGAGTAGGAGAAGAAGGGGGGAGTATAATAGTGTGTCCTCATTCAGAGAGGACTGTTTTTTTATTGGGGTGTTTTGTGTGTGTGTTTATCTATCTGTGTGTACACTACATCTAATAACTACTGCAATAATGGGATGCATGACCAAAAGAGCAATAATTTACAAATGGGTAATTATGCATGTTTTTACTGCTTGGTCACTCATCGCCAAATCCATAAATGTGTTAGCAATTGCCCTGTTCTAGCTGACTCACATGGGCTCAAAGTTAAACACAGAGCAGGCACTTAAATGGTTTTATCGAGAAGCAGTTTCTGGATCCCAATGTATTTGAACTGAACACATATTGAGGTCAGGGTGTGGATGTGGGGGGTGTTTTGTTTTTAAAGCTGTTATCATTGTGAATTTCTTTAACACCAAAAGAAGTGTGTGTCTCACCTTTCATTTCTAGTTTTATATGTGCTTAAACAAAATAACCAAGTGTGTGAAAGGTGAAGAATAGGACAAAGTGAAAACCGAAATCCTTTCCCTGTGTTACAGTGGACTGACCTGGGAATATCTGTCAAAGTCAGTGGCAGATGCATAGAAAAATTCAGGGGAAAGGAGAGTTCTTGATATTCCTTCTTTTTTGTTTTCCTCTCCCTGCCATCTGAACCACCAATATCCCCAACATTTGAACGAGCATTTTTTTTAATTTTTAGATTTATTTTTTAATTTTAAGGGTGTTGTTTGAACTATCCCAGGCTTAGGGGATATAGTTTTTTTAAATTCTTTATACATGCACATCAGATCTCCTAACATTCAGTTAGCAGGCATAATATTTGTAGTACTTTTTGTACTAAGCAATACTAGTAGGTATGGGTACAGCCACCATCTGAAATAATGAACGGAATGGAGTAGCTGTTCAGTTGTGGCTACTGCCTAGGATGGTACATAGGCCTATAGTATTAACAATTCTGCCCCAGCATTTATCAAAGCTATAGTTATATAAGTAATATATCTATTCCACACAGATATTCTCTGCTATAGAACATGCAGCCACATTGAAACTGTATAGTCTATAATGTGCAGTAGTCTATGTAACCAAGGAAATTCCACTGAAGTTAATAGATAGGACTGCTGGTCTAAGGTATATCTGTTTTATATAATGGTGTACTACTGTTAACTGT